GTGTGCCTTCGGCATTTAGTCATGCTGGCCACATGACCACGGAGATGTCTTCGGTCAGCGCTGGCTCTTCGGCTTAGAAACGGAGATGAGCACCACCCTTTAGAGCCAGGAACGACTAGCATTTATGTGTGGGGGAACCTTTACCTTTACCTTAATTAAGGAATGATAGTTGCTTTAATCAAAATAACTTGGAAGCTTGGACATTCTAACACACAAAGAGCCAGACTCCAATATTACTTCTTTTTTATGGTAAAGTTTCTGGAATTTTTTTTTTTCCCTCAAAAGATTTAATGTCTTGTTTTATTTAGAAAATAAAAATGGCAGAAACTGAGAGATTGAGAGGAAAGTGACGGAGAACAACCTCACTAGTTCTATCCTATAACTATTATTACATCAAAGTGTTATATACAACTTCCAGAAAGTTCTTTAAAATAATGTACCATACATTTGCTGCCAACATTTTTTTAGTTGAAACAAAGTACAGGGAGTCCTCAGCTTTACAGACCCCCCCTAAGCGGTTTACAGAGTCAGCCTCTTGCCCCCAACAATCTGGGTCCTCATTTTACCGACCTCAGAAGGATGGAAGGCTGAGTCAAACTTGAGGCAGTGAGAATCGAACTCCTGACAGTGGCCCTGCAGGACTGCATTCTAACCACAGCTCAAATGGTTGCAAGTTGAGGACTACCCATAAAAGAGAGGCTTTCCCTGGGAAAAAAGGCTAACACTTGAGGACTCACCAACAATGGAAGCCAACAGACACTTGCGATAACCATGATCATCAAAAGCTGGACCATCATCTCCACCTCGCTGTCCCTCCGGCGTTGCACGGATTCAGAGTCATGGTAGACTCGGCAAAGGGTCACAACGCTGACTGTATTGAAGATGAAGGAAAGACCCACAGAGAGGAGGCCCAACAGGGCAAATAGGAAGCAGAAAACAACATTCCGGGCATCATGGACCAAAGTGAGAAAACACCAGGAGTTGGGGTACTGCAGGCTATAATTCCCTAGGCCAAAGAAGGGCAAGAGGCCAAAAAAGAAACCCAAGGCCCACACCACACCCACCAAGGTCCAGGCCCTGCGTTTGGAAATACCCGCGGACCGGGAAAAGGGTCGGTTGATACCCACAAAACGCTCTCCAGCCATGGTGGCACCTAACAAGAGAGGACACTGCCCGAAAAAGACCATGACGAAGCCCATGAAATTGCAGAGGTGGCATCCAGGATCAACATCCGTCCATTCAAACTGGAGGAAGTGGTAGGGAATGACAATGACGAAAGTGAGCAGAAGGCCCAGGAGGTCTGTCACCACCAAGCCGCAGAGGAAGACTAAGAAAGAGGAACCGGATGAGCTCTGCATCTTCCGGGAGGAATTGACCAGCGCGCCCAAGGCAAAGAGGTTGGAGAAGAGGCCAATCAGGCCAAATGTTGTGGCAAACCAAGGAGATGTAAGGTGTTCCTGGCTGACATTCACTCCCCTGAAGCAGGATCCAAGATGTCTAGCGGCGCTGGAGTTCCCCAACTCCATAGTTGGGAAGTGGGAGATCCCCTCTGGCATTTTTCCAATAGGGAACAACGACAACTACATTCAGCACAGTCCCATGACGTAGCCTCAAGACAGGTCTTCTCCTGAAGGTGTGACAGTGCCCCACCAAAGTTTTCTTCCTTCCATTCTGTGGATAGCAAGGAACCTGCTGTGTTTACTTGAGAGGAAGATAAGGAAAAAGAGGAGGATCAGTCAGCATTTCATGCTTTAAAAAAACCCAAACAAGATTCCCCAATGCGACACACCTAAATCCTGAGATGCAAAAGACAGACGTTTTTTTTTATTTTTGTAGATGGTGACACAAAGCATGTGTTCTGAAACATTTTGCACCATTTATTCTAATTATGCTATCTATAGCTTGGCCGCCTGGCCCGACACAAAGGAGGCATGCGAGTGGCAGGTACAGTACATGGATGCGTGCATAGCTCCAAATGGAGCTTTGCTGTTGTGGCCCGCCAGCGGTCAGCAAAGCTGGCAGCAGATTCAGACAGTGAGGAAGTTGGGGAGGAACATGGGCCAGTCCTGGAGTCTGGGGAAGGCTCTGATGAGGGCTCTGTGTCGGAGGCAGAGAGGGGGCCAGAGCCATATGCCAGTTATTAGCTGCCTTCAGAGTCAGACATCAGTGAGGCAGACAAATAGCTGGAGCTTGTTCCCAGTGTGCG